TAAAAGAAAATAAAAAAAACAACAATGACAGACAGGCCTGAGGGCTGCGGATTAAAAGTCACCCCCCTTTGTCTTGGTAGAATCACTTTCTGTCCGCTGGGCTTGAAGCCCTCTGCTGCTTTAAACCCTAGGCCAAGCCTGGATTGCCTGGATTCTGGAGGCAGAGTAGTCCTTTGCGTCCGAAAAATGCCACAACACCCTACAGACTTGTAATCTAGAAAATCTTAAATTAGCTTATTTAAGTCTTATATGGAGGGTGTTTTATAATGCAGTAGGATTGCTGGTAATGTTTTTTGTAGTCATATATGAGTTATAGTGATTCTAAGAACAAAAAATCTGAAACTTGTCATGCTCAATACAGTTCTCATTATCTCCCATAGGCTCAAGCCCTTTCTTAAAATCAAAATGTGAATCCATCTTCTTGAACATTATCCTTTCTATTGACCCTCTACCTTTCACAACATAATCTCTTTCCAAGGATAACAGCCCAAAATATGTGAAATGAAGTTTCACCATCCTTGCCTCTAAGGAGCATTCTGGTTGCACTTCCTCAGGTTTGTTTCTTGGCTTGTTATTTTTAGGTACTGTGGAGTAAGAAGCAACTCACAAATGACCCTCCAGTGGATTTTTCAGAGACATTAGATTGCACAGGAGGAGATTGCCCATATTTCTCCCACAGAGCAGCTAGTGGATTCAAACTGTGCTGTCAAGTTGGCAGTGCAACTCCTTTCCACTAAGCCGCCATAACTGCTTTCTTGGTCTGTGTAAAAGTTTCAAATGAGTACAGCTAAGTATTCTGAAATTTCCTTTTTTCCCTAATTTTATCCATAATTTTCTGTGATCCACACAGTCAAATGTCTTTGAATGGTCTGAAAGACACAAGTAAGCACCTTACTAGTATTCTCTGCTTGCAGCCAAGATCCATATGACCTCAGCAATGCATCCCTCATTCTATGGTTTCTTTAGAATCCAACTTTAATTTCTGGAAGTCCTCTGTCAATGTGTTCTTCCTGTCAATTTTATCAATTTTCAGCAAGATTTTACTTCTATGTGATAACAATTATATTGTTTAATATCTTTCACACTCTTTCGGGTTGCTTTTTGTTGAAATGGGGACAAATATGGATCCCTTCCAGTGATTTGTCCTGGTAGCTGTCTTCCAATTTTTTTAGCACAGGCTAGTAAGCATGTATGCCACCGGAAATTTTATGAACTTTGATAAATATCAAAAGGCTTCAGGCCTTTTGTTCTTAGCATTGCTATGAGTCGTGCTCAAATTGAAGGCAATTGTCGACAACAACAACTTTAACAACAAGAAAGCATGTGAAAGGCTATACACTTTACTTGTTTGACTGTAGCAGTAGCTAACTTATATAGTCTACTAATGAAACATTTAGTAGGTTACTATTGTTGTAGATGAAAAGCGCAACTCATTTATACCTATACTAAGGGTAGCTCTGGGGGCTTAGTGGTACGAAGCTGTGCTGCAGTCCCGAAGGCACACCATTAACGGTTCAAGGCTACCAGTTGCTCTGTGGAGGAAGGATGAGCAGTCTCCTCCTGTGCAATCAACTGTATCTGAAAACCTGCTAAAAGGTCAGCTATGGGTCCATTCCGACCCTGTGGTACACAACAATGCACCTATACCAAAAGGTGTGAGTGATTATTATGTAAAATAAACCTACATAAATTCACTCCAGAAACAATGAAGAATTTGCAAATATATAATAAAACACAAATAAAATATGAATATTATTAAATATTTTTTCTATGCTAGTTTCAACTGCAGCCAAACAGAGTCAGGAGTACATCAGGCTAAACAGATGGTAGCTTGCTGGTTTCCAAGCTACAATTAAACCCTTACATGCAGAATATGGTGTACACAACTAATTTCACAGATCTTAGTGTCTGTAGGGCACAGGGAAGGATTTCACTGAAATAACTCCTAAATGTCTTGTTTTCTTTGGGCATTATTGTATTTAAACACATGTTAATTTTATAATCCTTACAACAAATCCAAGAGGTAAATTGAAAAGATGCTATCATTAGTGTTATGATGTAAAAACTGAAATGTTATAAGAAATGATGAAGTAGCAATACACCCAGGGCAAGTCCTAAAGAATTTCAGTGTTGATGTGTACCCAAGAATTTACAGTCCAACAATAACTTCATGGAAAAAATATTGATCGTCACTGAGTATCTAGTTGCAAAGGACACATTAGGCTTGTTTGACCACTGGTGTTGCTCAGAAACACTGCTTCTGAGCACGTTCTTAGAAAGTTGATTTTCTTTGCATTGTACTGAGATATTTTTTAGTACTTTGCACAGAAAAGAGCTATCATTAAATCTATTTTGAAAAGTATTATGTATGAAAAATATAAAGTTGTCAGTTTTAGTTTATCAAGGACAACTTGGAAAATTACTGATTTAATTGTGACTATATCTGCATGTCCACACTTGTTTTTGTTGAATTTTATGTCGCTAATGAAATTTATAGTGTATGTAAATAGATGTATATAACATAAAATGTGATAGCCTTCAGTACAGATGGTTGTTGTTGTTACATGCCATTGAGTCACCTGCGATTTATGGTGACCCTATGTACAATAGCCCTAAACCCTGGTCTATCCTGTGC